GCTCAGCGGAGAGCCTGCTTCTCCCTCTCCCTCTGCCTGCCACTCTGCCTACTTGTGCTCTCTCTCTATCTCTCTGTCAAATGAATAAATAAAATCTTTAAAAAATAAAAAATAAAAAAAAGAAGTTCCTTAAAGCATTGTTTATAATAGTGTAAAAGTAGAAATAATTTAAATGGCCACCAATAGATGAATGACAAGCTAAAAACAAGAAAAAAATGACAAAAATTAAGCAATTACAAAAGATACTTACTCTCATCTCAAAGTTTGATCAATTATTCAGAATTCCTGTGGCACTAACAGGAAAATCTTACTTCTGAAATTGCTATTGTTAGAAATAATAAGAACAAATTATCACTAAAGTTTTTCCTAAATACACACTGAGAGAAAAGATGCATTGAAGCAAGCATAAATTTTTAATGATAGTTTTAAATGCTTTCTAATCAAATTAGTAAAGGAAAGACAAGCAGCAGTGATTTCAGTTCCTATTTCCCCTACCTGGTGCTCTTAACTTTCATTTATGAGTATTTGACAAACATTCAAGGTTGGAGGAGTTAAAAGCAATATTCTTCAGTGGTAATGAGTTTCTCTCAGTGCCTCATTGTCTGCACAGTTGGGCTGAACACATACTTTGTCAAAGCTGTGCAGTTTGCTTCCATAGGACTGTTTGTGCCATAATGTCATTTGAGTATTATTTTTCTGGAGATGGGTAGTGCTTTTCTATGTTGCATTCTAAGTAATTTCCCATTCACTATTTTTTTCTGCAGCTGTGGCTACTCTCATGTTTAACTCATCCACTGTTTCTGAGGTTTTCTATTTTTAATTTCTATAACTTATTTTCTTTTAGTCCTGGCCAATTTGATTGTTCCTGTTTCCCTTAACATATTTTAAATACTTTTAGCTTTTAAATATGTTCAAGACACTTATTTTATATTTTGTCTAATTCCAATGTATATTGGTCTGATTTCATAGGTTTTGGCAGGGTTGATTTTCATTCATAGTGGCTTGTTTTCCTATGTATTTAGTGATTTAAAAAAATTGTCAGTTCATACTTCTGTAAGTTTATCACAGGGAATCCTTTGTGCCTGGATCAAAAGTGCATTTCTACAAATAGCACCTGCATTTGCTTCTGCCTAGCACTACCAGTCCAAGCACACTTTAAACAACATTTTTAGATTGAAGCTTTTCCATGCTATTTGAGCTGAGCTCATCCTAGTTCCAAACTTATATGAGCATGCCTTGTCATTTCTGCCTCCAAAAAATTTTTACTTTCCACCAACTTAATCATACATTAGAAATTATAAACCTGTGTTTTAGCCCATTTTTCAAGGTGGCTACATATGGAGGGGTTTCTCCATGAAACTAATCTGCCATATTGTCCTTCTATATTTTATTTTATTGACTTATTCAAGCTCCAGAATCATGTAGATCAAATGACTGAAGTTTGTATTAGAAATATATCTCATATGTTACAGTATTTTATATTTGAATAACTGGAAAGGCAACTTCCCCTTATTCTAAATTGTATTGACTCTTTTCAGACATTTAATTCATATGTTTTAGAATCCATTGTCAAAATTAAAATATCTGGGAGAGGGGGGTTGACAGGCATTGTGTTCATACTGTATGTATAAAATTTGGGAAGCATTATGTACAATATTTAATCTTACCATCTGCACATTTCTAGTTAATATTCTTTTTAGGGTTTTCTCCCTAATTGGGAGAAATCTTTTTTTTTCCACTATAGTTTCCATCTAGTTATTTTGAGATTACTAGCTATTTTGAAACACATGTTTTTAATATCTCCTTTGTACAAATGACTTAACAGTTCTTTAGGGGTTTTTTTTGGTTTTGTTTGGTTTTGGTCATAACATGGAAGTCTGCCAAAAACAATGGAAATAAAATAGTGCCTCAATTAATGGCTTATTTTCAAAATACCCAATAGTGCATGGATCATTTCTGCTCTGCAGCCTGAGCAGCCCTTGAGGAGAAAATGCCAACTGCCTTTTTTCCCCTTAATGTTCGGAAAATAAGTGGAATTATTATGGTTCTTGAGGTAAACAACCAAAAAAAAAAATCTTCTTGAAATGGATTTCTCCCAGGAATTCAATACCTTTATTCAGACCCTACACATTATATGCTTCATTAAAGCATAGCTTCCACTATTACTAATCGCTGTCATAAAAGATATATGCAGTTGTCACTTTCTAGGGTCAGTCTCCAAATTAACAACAAAAGTCCACCCTATCCCTACCCCTGGCCCCCAGTATGATAGTTTCACCTCCATATAAAAAATTGCAAAACACTGAGAAGCATATCACTTTTCTGATCTGATGTCAACTTGCAATTCTTCAAAGTTCAAAAGCTATTTTTTCCTTTTGTCATCTAAACTATCACCACCCCACATCCACCCTCGTGTGCTTTGTCCATTTTAGTAGTTAGGTCTCAGCAAACATTCATTGAATTTTAATTGGGAAGCATTTTGGATGGAAGTCAAGAGTCCTGGGGTGTCATGAGCACACTATAAAGGAGCACACATGAGTTGTGTCTTTCCATAATGGCAGCTTTATTCAATCATAAAGCAAGGTTAACATAATTATAAAGCAGGTTCAGGATTCCAAACTCAATGACATTTCATTAGTGTTTAACTTGTTTTCTTACACATCACACATATTAAAGCACAAGAGAATCACATAACAAGATAAAACAAGGGGTAGGAAGTAAACCAAACGCAGTCATTTTGTGAGTGTGCAGTTGATATAAGGCCTCCCTTCGGTCTAAGCTCTCAGCACTTGCTACTTAAATATGTTCAAGCAGTGAAGATCTCTGTTCTGTCCCAAAACCATTTGGGCAGGGTCTTCAGGGCAGTTGCCTTTTTGATGTGGTCAGAAACGAAAGGGTCAGCATCTGGAAAGTCTTGACAGTTTCCTGCAAAAATCCTCCCTTTAAAGGAATTCAATCAGTCTAGACCTTTGTAGACCTCGTCTGGTTCTGCTGGTTATCAGTTTTTGGTATGGTCAGCCTGTGCTGGCTTCCAAGACATCTGGTCTTAGCTGCAATGCCCTTGGCTGCTTACATCACTGCTTGACCTAAGTTCTGCTTCACAGGAGTAACTCCATCTTAATTTCTACACAGGGTTAACTAAAACCCATGATAAAAGTGAAGCAACAGTGAACTCAACAAGTGAACAAGTAAGCAATACTTTTTTTTTCTTAAGAGTTTTTTCCTCGAGAATCTAGTTTATTTTGGCTCCCTCAAACAGTTATTTCCCTCAACGGTCATTTAGAAAACAAGACTCATAGACAAAACACAAATAAAGAAGTAACCTCGCCGTGGGGTCGTAATTACAGCGTAAGACAACCCAAAGCAACCTGAGAGCCTTGCCCTGATTGGAAAGAAGATCTAGGCGACTAGTGAAAGATGATTCCTCCATCCCTCGGTCGTGTTTATCTAGGAACTACCTCCCGTAACTGCGGAGACCTTTGTAGTCAACAGACGAACGTCGTCATTGGCGGAAAACCCTGAATCATTTTACTAAGGCAGCTAGCTGGCGCGCTCATGAAACTTGACCGCATCCGAAGCCTATCCTCCGCCTATCACGCCCGGGTTTCCTGGGTTACGGGCCTCCCCACGCTCTCTTCCGGGAGGCGGCGAGCATACGCTCTCGGCGCGTGACGCAGTACGTTTTGGTATAACTACGTGACGCGCGGCGGTCGCTTTCTCTTTGATCGCCCGACCGCCTTTCAAGATGGCGCCGGTGAGTGAGGGTGGGATTTTGGTGGGAGCATGTTACCCCAGTGTAGATGATTTTTGCCATCTAGCGAGTTGGGGATCTCTCATTTGAGATAAAGGGAGGGTAGAAATGGAGACTGGGTCAGGAACACAAGCACGATGGTAAGGTTCTCAGTTGTTTTTCGAGACAACCTGGCGACTGCCATGCGATCTAGTGGAGTTCTCGGTGGGCCCGGAGTTTGGATGAGTGGCGCTGGCCGCTCAAGGAAGGAGGTACAACGACGAACCGGACTAATGGGACAGCATTGAGCTATTTCTTTTCAATCTCGCTTCTAATAATGCCAATGCTAGCCTATTCGTTTGCTCTAGGAAGGAGATTGGGTAATCGGACCGGTCTGATGGCCTTGCCAGAGCGGAGGGAGCTCCGAGGCTACAAAAGTTTCAGAGAACTTTAGAACTAAATTGGGGAAGAAGTTTCTTTAATACCTCATGAAGAAACTTTTTAAAAGATAAAAGTCAAGACTCGCAGATGTAAAAGGAGCGTGCACCAAAGATTTTATGTTGTTAATTAATTAACAAGGGAATCAGTAAGGTATTTAAACCAATCCAAAGAGCATTTGAAAAGGTAGGTATATGCGACAATTTACCAGTTCAAAGTTTTGGATATTTGGGGGGCGGGGTACAAGTTCCTCGGCTACCTAAAACCAAACTGGCATTAGTACTTGGTGTCCTTTTGGGTGGCTCTAATTTGGAGATGGCATCTTCTGATAAATACTGATTTGTCTGTTTTCAGTATATTGTCTGAATGTAATTGATAGTAGCCACAGCAGCATTTTACTTGGATAGCCCGATTATGCGTATTGGTCTGAGTGTTGGGTATGAAAAACTGAAGTTACGTAATTTTTTAAAATTGAAAGTCTTTACAGGACCTAAGGTCCCCTTCCCCTCTCTCACCTTTAACAACATAAGGATTTAATTCTCTAGACTTGAGTGGATAGAATATCCTCTTCTGGCACATAATTGAGGTTGGGCAAGGTAGTGTGTACTACCTGTGTCCCATAGGGCCTGGCCTGTAGTAAATAGTATCTGATAATTTAAAATTGAATGTCAGTGGTCTGGAAAATATTAAAAGCCCATAAAACTTAACTTGGTGATTGGAAAAGAATGGGCTTCATTAGACATTCAGTGGGTTTCAGTTTTAATTTACAATAGAAAGTAAGATTGATCCTTGTATTAATCTTTTCTGGTTGTAAATACAGGATTCTTTGGAATTTACTGATGAAGGGAACTAATAGTGGCTTGCCGTATGCTTCGAGCTTTCTTGAGTTTCGCACTTTTGAGACACTTGCATGGTGGGCAGGGAAAATTTCCTTTGGATTTTACAAAAACTTCGTTTAAACCAAGGAGTGTATCCCTTTTCACACAGCCTGGCTGAGAAAAAGGGTATATCCAATAGCTATGAAGCAATTTTTTAGAATTTTGGACCATTTCATATATATATGTATATAACATTACAGTACATTGTACATCTTTGGGCTGCTACAGATTTTAAAGTTTGTATATAAAGTGAGCAAAGTGAATAGTTGTAATTATGTGAACTATCTGTAGCAGAAAGACAAGAAGCCTAAGAAGTCAACCTGGAAATTTAATTTGGACCTTACCCATCCAGTAGAAGATGGAATTTTTGATTCGGGAAATTTTGTAAGTATCACTCTCCTCAGCTTGTTTTTATCATTGTAACAGAGTTCTTAATGATTAAAGTATGTAATATTTGATTTTAACCTAAGCTCTATTCCTAGGGTACCTTCCCTAGTGAATATCTAGGGTTTTCTTCCCTAGTTTTGCATGTTTTCTGTTTTAAAATAGGAACAGTTTCTACGGGAGAAGGTTAAAGTCAATGGAAAAACTGGAAATCTGGGGAATGTTGTTCACATTGAACGCTTCAAGAATAAAATCACAGTTGTTTCTGAGAAACAGTTCTCTAAAAGGTTGGTATTTGTTTCCCATAATACTTTAGGGAAATTATGGTAATTGTGAATATTTTATAGAATACATAATCCTTGTGTTTTCATAGGCAGGAGTAGATGTGTTGATGATAAGGTCAGGGAGATACAAACAAGTGTTTTGAACTTAATAATGGCCTATGTGAATGGAAAATATGTTCAGTAACTGGGCCAGTTGCTTAGGCTGGTTGTCAGTAAGCGTAATTTATTGCTGGAATATAGGCAAGTTATATACAGGGCTCCTGTCCAGTGCATGGTAGTCCCTGAAACCCAAATTATATATGAACTGTAACAATGTTAAATGTTTTAATATTAGAACATGTTGCAAGAAACATGTCTAATGTGTAACATGAAAGTAATGTTCTGAAGTAATATAAATGTTTTCTTATACGTGTGGTTTTAAAGTTTTGGTGGTTTATTTAGTAGAGGCAGCCAGTCAAAGGTAAAGTCTAACATTTTGCCAGTTTTAGTTCGTTTAATTTACTTAAATACTAAGTATATGACGGCACTCTTGTAGGACTGGATAGCCAAGTAGGCAAGTACCTACCACTAAGGAGCTTAAATTCTAGTGGAAAGAGACGATGAAATATTAAGTAGTTGATAAGTGCTGTGTAAATGCATAAAAAGGATTTCAGGGTTGATATTTTTAGATAAGGTGGTCAAGAAAATCTCATCTAAATGAAGTGCTGGAGTGAGACAGGCAAATTAGGGAATTCCCAATTGTGGCTGAAAAAGACTGGTGGTGGAAGCTGAAGACTATGAACCTGTTGTGAGAATAGGTGAGCCGGTGGTGTTTTGGACTTAAGGAACAGTGCATGTTAGCTGTGGTTATGAATTCATCACTAGGGATTTGGGGATGAAAGATAATGTTCTCAAGGATCTTAGAGACATGAACATAATTATTATAAATGCAATCCTGTAATTGCTGTGTTGAAGGTAAGAGATAGGACATAAGAATTTGCAGAGAACCTGAGATGGAATGAAGTATTCCTAGCAGAGGGAACAACGTTAAGAAAGGACAGGGAAGCTCAAGTACTGCTTGATAGTTCAGAATTGATGTAAAGTGTAAATGAAAGAGAGTGGCTGGAGTGATGAAATTAGACCATGTTCAAAGCTTTATATAAGGACTGAGCCGTATGTTAATTGAAAATGTGTCAATAAACTTGTAAATGGATTCAGCCCTGTTGATAGATTTCCTTTTGTTGATCATGGAATTGAGGTTAGGGAGGTTGATAGTGGTGAAAGGAATGTTAACAATTAGTACATAATACATTTAAGGAATAAAATTGTACATTAAAAGGTAATCTGGTTATGGCAGTAAAACTGAAGGGGAAACTACTATTGCTCTTTTTAGCTTCAGCATAAAGGATGTTTATTTTAGGGATATGGGAGAATAGGGTTTGTAGGGCATCAACCTATTGTAATTGGGGTTGAATGGCCACCTTATTCTTAGATCCCCAACAACCTTGAACAATGTTGGATACAAATGAAATATTTTGGAGGGAACATTAAAGATAAATGAATACAACTGCATTATCTTCTATATAAGCCTTTGCATAGGAGATAATTGTATTTCTTAATGAAATTCTTGTCTTTATTTTAAAGGTATTTGAAATATCTTACCAAGAAATACCTTAAGAAGAACAATCTTCGTGATTGGCTTCGTGTGGTTGCATCTGACAAGGAGACTTACGAACTTCGTTATTTCCAGATTAGTCAAGATGAAGATGGATCTGAGTCTGAAGACTAGATGAAGCTGCCCCTTAAAGGGTTTTGCTTGTTAATAAAACAAATGAAGCATGGAAAAGAAAGAAACATCTAGAAATGGACTTTTAGTTTATTCATAAATAAAAAGCATTGTACTCTGTATGTTAAGTTTCTGCCTCTTTTATTTAAGTATATGCCATTTACATGATTCTGGGCTTTCCTTTGATAGTTTTTATAAGCAGTATTTAAATAGCCAATAGCTGGTAGAAATTTTTCAGAATTTCTGAAATTCATCCTTTTATGGGTGTCCTCAAGTTAAAGTATGTAGTGTTGTATAGGAAATACTGAAACACTGTATTGTGTATGACTTTATATAGTGAAATATTTAAAATTCTCTTGACAGACTTAAACATTTTTATAGTGTGTAAATTGCAATTCTGAGTGCCTAGAACAGTTCTTACACATATGCTTTTATTGAGTCACTCCTGCCCTCTGCTTCAGAGGATGCTGACTCCTAGTTAGTATAAAAGCTATGGGTGAGCATGGTACTGCTCTAAACCAATGTTTAATTGCCTATTAGACATCTCCAACCAGATGCCTTGTAGGTACTATAAATTCAAAACCTTCAAATCAGAACTCTTGATATCTTACTCACCAAATCTCCTGTGTTCCTTGTCTGTCCAACTCAGCCAGTTGGAATCTCGTCTCCTTTCTCAAGCTTCTCCCTGCTGGTAATTCTAAAAGTGGTGGTCATCTGTTGCTTAGTTCTCAGTGGATGGACCCTTTCCCCTAAATAAAGTAGCCTTTGAGCAAATAGAATGGTTTGGCAAAATCCAGATTGTGAGAGAGAGAGAATAATGGGAGAGAGGTACTGGAGCTGTATCAATTTTCTTGGTTTTCCAGTAGTCCCATGTGTCTCTTTCTACTTTTAACCTGAAAGTGGTGTCAGTACCTCAGATACTTGGGCCACGGGCCCTGATAGCAGTAGAAATAAAATAATGTCTTGACTATTAGAACCTAATGTACAGATTTACATGATTGGTTTGGGGAGTGTTGGGAATAATTTCATCAAGAGTGTCAATTCCCTTGACCATCAAGGACTTGTTGAGGTGCTCCCCAACATTAATGTTCTGCTCTAGTGCAGCGCCTTCGTTCTTTCCTAGTTGTAATAAGCCCTTAACGGCTCTGTTTGAATAGTTCACGTTTTCTACCAATAGTTACCAAGATCCTCCTGTCATTCTTTGTTGAGCATTGTGGATACAAGGGAGTAAAAACAGCCTACTCCTAGTATGGTTAGGGAAACACCAAATAATGCTATACAAACTGTTTCAAGTACAACAAAGGAGAGGAGTTTCTAAAAGCAATTTGATCTAGTCAGGGTAACGAAGTATTTGAGCTGACTTAAAACAGACATGGTATTAACTGGGAAAAGGGAAAAGGGTGTTTTGGGCAGAGGTAAAGTTCTCAGCACTTTGAGAATCTGGTTGGTATAGAGTACATTTGGAATAGAGTGGTGGTTATGAGGAAAATTTGGAAAGGTAAGGTGGAAACCAGCCCATGCAGGACAGAAAAACGTTTTAATCTTGAGAGCAATGGGAAGCTACTGAATTTTAAGTGAACAGTAATGTGATCCAATGAGATGTGCATTTTGAAAAAGATGTACGGCTGCATTGTGGAAAATCGTTTTCAGAGGGGTCATAGTAGATGCAAGGAGACCGGAAGGTATATGGCAGTATCCTGTGGCTATGGTAGGTGGCATTGGGGTGTTGGAGGAGATGGGGAAAAGTGGACAGATTTTAAGAGATTTCAGAAGATAAAATCTGGGACTTGGTGGTAGGGAGAAGAGTTGAGGGTGACATAATTGACTAGAAGATTGCATATGCTGAGTTTGGTCACAATAGGGGAAGGCAGGAGTAGGGGGGAAGTTCATTTTAGGCCAGGCTGAAGTTGAGGTCCACAAGATGTCCTTCTGAGGAAGGATCTAAGTGAAGATGTCCACTAGTCTGTGCATAGGTGATAATAAACAGTGGGGAGGAGTGAAATTGCCTGTGGGGAGTGTAGAGTGAGGATTAAGTGTTGCAGACACCAAATGCCTCTATTCATCCCCTAGAGTGATCCTTCCAAATGATCTGATTGTGTTATTCAGATGTTTAAAATTATTCTTCAAAGTTAATTTAACATTAATGTGTGTTCAAGCCTGTGTACACTAAACCTTTAAGGAGTTGGCAGGTTAGTTGAGGCAAGCGAATTTATTTAACAATTTATTGAAAGCCATCTGCAGAATGCAGTATCACAAGTAGAAACACTTGTCTTTGTGAAGCTTATACTCCAGTGAGGAAGACAGATGGTAAAGTAAAATGTATGGTACATGGTAAATATTATGAGAAAAATAAGGGAGACAGGGAATGTAAGGAGGAAGGAGTGTTGCACTTGTAAATAGGGTCAGGAAAGGCTTTACCAAGAAGGGTTCAGCGTAAAGACCTAAAGGAGCTAGTGGATCCAACTAGATACTTATGGGAGAAGCATCCAGGCAGGCAGAAAGACTAGCAGAACAAAGGCCCTGAGGCAGGGGTGCCTCTGGTATATTCAAGGAACAATAAGATTTCTGTGATCTGAGCTGAATGTGTGGTGGAGAGTAGAAGGAGGTGAAATTAGAAAGGTGAGAGGTGTGTGTGTGCTTGGCAGAGGGTGGGTGGGGAGTGGAGGATGGGGTGTATGAGTTCCATTAAGCCAAAATGTAGCTGCTTAAAACTGTCAACTTACGGTTTCTGAGGGTCAAGAACCTAAGAAGCAGCTTAGCTGGGTGGGTCTGATTGAGGATTTCATGAAGTGAAAGGCTGTGAGCCTTGGCTGCAGTCATGTAAAAGTTAGCAAACTACTGCTTGTTTTTGCAAATAAAGTTTTATTGGAGCTGCAGTCCTGAACATTATTTTTCATATTGTATAAAATGGCAGAAGTGAATAGTTGCAATAGGGACTATAGGACCTGCAAGACCTAAACTATTTACTATCTGGCTCTTTAAGAAAATCTTTCTTTTGGGCTTGACTGGAGCTAATGATCTACTTCCAAGGTTGTTGGTAGAATATGTTTCTTGCCAGGTGCATTCTGCATGGAGCTGCTCATGACATAGCAGCTGGTTTTTCCTAGAGTGAGTGATCCAAGCCAGGAGGAGAAAGCAACCAAGATGGAGGTTCCAGTGTTTATAACCTAATCTCAGAAGTATTATGCCATTGCTTCTCCTTTATTCTATTGAGCACAGAGACCAAACTTGGAAAAGTGAGAAGGGATTGCACAAGAGTTTGAACACCAGGAGGTGGGGATCTATCCAAGGCCATCTTGGAGGCTGGCTACTACAGGAGATATCAAGTAGGAAGAGCTGTGCAGGCCATCTGCTTCAGCTATTTTCCTGAGTACAATGAGGAACTACTAGTAGACTTGAGCTGAGAAGTGTTATCTGACATATTTTAAATGAATGATTACAGTGGAGTATTTTGTTAGTCTATGGTAAGAAGCTACGGGAATTCAGAGAATCTCAGACTAGGCATTCTGGCACGTGACTTCACAGTTTGGAAGCTATGAAGAATAAAGTCTTTCTGAAGGGCTAAAAGAGTCTCAGATTTTCTTTGCCTTGCAGCATCTCTACATGAACTGAAAAGTTTTTTTTTTAACTTGATTGGTTTTTGTTTTTTAATTTTTTTAATTGGTATATATTTTTCCATTCAATTCTGCTATATGTATTTGTATCCATAAATAATATATAACATTGTTTTGTGTCATTTTATAATTTGCAAAGTGGTCCCAACCTATGTATATCCTTTTGAATTTATACACTGAGTACAATTGTTCATGAGATTTGTGTTGATACCGTACAGATCTGGTCAGGTTTTTTTTTTTTATTTCTATGTAGTTTTCCATTGTATGAATATTTACATTCCCTGTGATTACCAATATTATTTGAATTTATTTTTACTATTTTTATTTTGTGTTTTTCCTGTTTATGCTTTTCCCTTCCTGCCCTTATTTAGGGGGAAAGGGAGTATCATGTGTTCTTCTTCTTTTTTAATGGTTAACCTTATCTCCCAACCCCTACCTGCTGGCCCTCCACACATACAACCTCTGGCAACCACCAGTCTGTTCTTCATATCTATGGTCTTGGTGAATATATGTTATATATATATTATATATATTATATATATAATACATATTCCACATATAAGAAAGATCACATAGTGTTTGTCTTTCTGGGACTTATATTTCATTTAGGATATTGCCCTCGACATCCACCCTTATCAAAAATGTCAAGATTTCATTCTTTTTTATGACTGAATAATATTCCATTGTGTGTGGGTATCACAATGTCTTTATCCATTGATGGACATTTACGTTGTTTCCGTATCTTGGCTATTATAAGTAATGCTGCAGTGAACATGGTGGTGCATCTATCCTTTTGACTTAGTGTCTTCATTTTCTTTGGGTAAATACCCAGAAGTGGAATTGCTAGATCATATAGTAGTTCTATTTTTAATTTTTTGAGGAATCTCCTTACTGTTGTCCATAGTGGCTGCACCGGTTTACAGTCCTACTAATAATGAATATCTTCACCAATACTTGTTATCTCTAGTCTTTCTGATAACAGCCATTTAACAGGTATGAGGTGATATCTCACTGTGGTTTTGATTTGCATTTCCATGATAATTAACGGTGTAGAGCATCTGTTCATGTCCTTGTTGGCCATTTGTATATCTTCTTAGGAAAAATGTCTATTCAGATCTTCTGCCCATTTTTTAATTGGATTCTTTTTTTTTTTTTTTTTGCTATTGAGTTGTATGAATTCATTATATATTTTGGATATTAACCTCTCATTAGGTATATGATTTGCATATATTGTCTCCCTTTCACTATGTTGCTTTTTCACTTTGTTGTTCATTTGTTGTTTATTTCATCCATAAACTTGTTTGTTTCTCTAAATTTTAGTGTTTAAAAAATAAGGACTCTTAAAGCATAACTATTCTACCATTATCACACCTATACCAAATGAACAATATTTTCTTATGTTATTCAATGTTCAGTCAATGCTAAATTTCCCCGTATACCTCATAACTTTTAAATTGTGCAAATCAAGGTTGTAATAAGATCCAAGTGTTACAATGAAATGATGTCTC